TGGAAATCGAAATGCGCGCTGCACCCGAGACTGATTAAAAGTTAGCTCGGTGTCGAGTATATCTCCGCTTTTCTTCTTTCCAGTTAGCCCGTTTAATAAAACATTTTGATTGACTCAGCCGCAGGATTTCGCACCTCGTGATCATTACTCGCAAAGTTCGCGCGCCAGGTAGCCAATGACTCAACGATATAACAAAGTACAGTATCCCGCGTAGACGGTTCGGCGCTATCGGCGAGAACAAAAACGATTATTTCAATAAATATAACCCGTGAGAGCGTACGCCCTAATGTAGGATTCTTGCTTTCTCGAAGCCCATCCAGGAAGGATTAAATAATGATTCCTTACATTCAGCACGACAGATTACGTTGTGAAATGCTACCTGGACGTTTATTAGCGGCGGCTATACGTGCCTAACGTGGGCCGAGACCCGCAACTGTAACTATACCTGCATTCCGTGACTGGTTCTAATTCAGAAATTGCTGGTTTCTTAACAGTCGTGATGGCGCGATCAGACCCATTTCGATTTTATCGCACCGCCTGGGATACATCAAGCAAGTCCCTTCTCCATCTGCCTTATAATACAAATACTACAGGGATTTTCTATAATTTTGAGAAATAACAGGGAAAATAAATATAATTTTATAAAAATAATTTTTAAACAAATAGCAATATCGCGATTACTTTCTATTCTACTTTTAATCTTCCTCTTCTTAATTTTAATTTTTCCTTTCTCTTAGAAATCATTAAACAAATTTTCTGTAATTTTGGTGTTTCAAATTATTTCTTCAAAATTTCTCAGCTCATCACTGCTCAAATCCTTTAACTTCTATACAGCATGGTCGAATCTCGTTTGTCGAAATTCATCCGCGCAGCCAGAAACAGCCGACGGCAGCGTTTCTTCGAGCTGCTGCGGAGGACAAGTATCGCGGAATTCTGCGTCCGAGTGTGGTATATATCCACTTCTACATTTTTCTCCCCCTCCGTCCACGGGATCATCCCCCGTCGCCGCCCTTCCGTTCTCCCCGGGTGTAGTACGATTGCCGAGTCATCGTGTAATGACGTGCCGGCTGTCAGATCTCGCGAGAGAGGCGAGGCGGCACGATTCGAGCCACGAAACGATCGGCATCGCCGGCCCGAAGAAGATGAAGAAAAGGACCGGACGGAGGCCGCGAATAAACGCGAGCGAGACGGAGATCCGGAGGTGGCGGGGACGCGAGTGAGACGACGCGAATGGAGGCGAATCTCCTAAGGACTCAATATCTCGGACGTCATCTCCGAGGCGAACCGGACGTATCGGACGCAGCTTCTCGGAATTCTCGCGAGGTCCTCGCGTTGCGAGGGGCCGCGGGAGATCGATACAGTTATCGGGCGAAAGAAGATCTCGCGTCCTGCCTCTCGACTTTGCAGATTGCACTCGATTAAGCATTTCGGCTTTCAAAATTTTTACTTTTACGCCGATTTCTTTATTTCGCATATTATTACTTGTAGTATCGTTGCGTGAAAACAATCCGTAAGGTCTTTAGACTTAGAATAAGATATATCTACAACCTCTTTACCATACGTTCTACTCCTTATAAATCTCTCTTTGTACCCCTTGGCTCGTGCGGTGCGCGCGAGCAATGCACAAAGATATAAGATTTTCTTCTGATTTCTTATTCGGCCGGCGGCGATGTCCTCTAACCGCTCTATTCGGTACGTCTAAACACCTTAAACTGTTTTTTTTTTGCCACGCGGTGCGTCTCTAATTTAATCGGAGGCGTGCCCAAAGATCGGATTGTGGTATTTATGTCTACGAACGTATTGTACGCACGTCATCGCCATTACGGGTGATCGTTTTCAGAGTCTCCCAGAGTACGTTTGGACTGTCAGATACGTCAATAAAATTAGAATAGGATTATGTGCTTCCAAGACCACTGCAAGCGATAGAGATGCGTGGACGAATTAATTATTTATTTTCTTATGGTCACTGCATAATTTAATTTACTCTGGTTTTTTTCGTCCTATACGCTCTATTCTTTAAAAGGAAGCATAATAAACCTGTTCAACCTGTTTTTCTTGAATGCACATTTGGCACATTGTTCCGATTCGGGCATTAAAATTTTATTTCAACTCTGACAATGAGAAAAAAAAATATTAATATAATTAAATGTCGTTTCTGAACTTAAATACTTTCTGTCGCTCACTCCAGAATTATAATCTTAACGATATGTAACGTCGGAGATTTGTATAGATGCAATCCAACACAAAGTGAGTCGCTCGATCCGATGGCACGTACTTTTCTCGCGCCGATCGCTCACGAGAGGGTGTCATACGAACTCTCGAAAGCGAGCCCCGAGACGAGGAAGGAAGAAAGAAAGAGAGACACGCAGACGGAGAGACGAGCGGGTCGCGTCCGAGGAGTCACGATAATTCGTGTGATCAAAGCGACCGACTCGGTGGTGTCTCCCGCGCTGGCATCTCTTCTCACCTTTAATAAAGCTATCTCGCATCTCTAATATCTCCTCGCGCCAACGCGCGAGAGGTAGACAAAGACAGATGAGGAACGTCCGGGTGATGGTGGTGGTGGAGAAGGAGGAGGAGGAGGAGGAGGAGGAAGAGGAGGAGGAGGAGGAGGAGGAGGCGATATACCCGTGGAGGAGAAGGAGGACCCGGACGGGACGGGGGAGAGAGCGGATCTCGAGGCTCTTTGCTCGCTGCCCCGACACCTTTCTACAACGAGGCCTTGTTCGCCAGGAGAAAAGACACGTCAGCCGACACCACGTACACACCTCGTCTCTTCGGGGCCATCGATACGACGCGCGGGATTCTACTCTCTTTCTCCTATCTCCGTCGATCTCTCTCTCTCTCTCTCTCTCTTCTTCCATCGCAACGCTTTTTATAACATAGTCCAGTCTCTGGTACCATGCCGTCCGTCCTCTCGCGCTCTCTCTCTCCTTCTCGCGCCTTTCCGCCTCCCTCTCTCTGCGGCCATCTCTCAAGGAGATATCAGCGTATATACCGCTAGGCATGAGAGACTCACGAAGATATTACACTTACCATCTCGCAGCCACGCGGCGATGCTTATCGGCGACCGCCGTCAATTAAGCAATTATCGCCACCTCCGCCGATAGGCTCCGCGCGTATATATGCGCTGGGTCATGCCGCCGCGCTGTTCCGCTCGTTTCACGGAGGATACGCTTACACGCGCAACGACGTAAACGTTAATGAACGACTCGGTGTTAATAGGAACGTTGTTTTCCTATCGGTCCCCGTCGTTTAATCAAAGCGCGAGGCATTACACGGCGTTAACGTGCGGAACGACGACCCCCACGAGACATAGGGGGTGGTCGCTGCATTCCGGAGGAGCTCGAGAGCGCTGGAAAGTCGAATCAATCGACGAGAACGATGATAGGCGGGGAATGCGCGAATTATCCTCGCGGCAACGCTGGACAGCGAATCCTTGATGAACCGTAATGACGCTGGACGCTTGGAGACGCCCGCTATCTTCGCGGTCTTCGGGAGATCCTTATCCGACGTCCGGTGTCAATTGAGCGATTAGGCGACTGTCGTACCGAATACTGACAGTCAGAAAGGGCCTTTGATACCTTCAACGTGCTCACAAAGTACCTGCTGTTTGATATAGTTAATTAAGGCTGGGAATTAATATTTATTTATCAAATATAATAATGAATTTTGAGAATTATTGTTTGCAACAGTGAGTATAATTCCATCGATAACAATGTATATACGTTATATATTTAATCGCAACCGTAATAATTAAACTGAATTTTGTGACACAATTATTCGGTAACACACTGCGCCCTGTTGTATTTTTCAATAGCACAACGTCGCTGAATCGCGCGAAAGATATTAAATTATTTCGTACGAGTCTATATATGTTTACGATTTCCCTTCCTCATGGCATATTCAATTTCTGATAATACCACCATCGCGACCACGAGGAAAATCGTTTCATATCATCGCGAGATGGCTTCGCCTTGCATGCACCGCGCGCTCGCTCCTCTTTCTCTCCCTCCGTCTTTCTCTCCCGCCTTACCTGCCACACTGTAGGCAGTCACACCAGACCCATATACATGTAAACGAATTCCAGACATAAATTTACCGACTTCCGCTTCGCGCATTCAAGTAGCGGGGAATGCGTCTCTCGGAGCATCGATATATCGGGACGATACTTCCGGCAATTCTCGAAACTCCTCTCTATGATAAAGCCGTCGGACTGCGATAAAGTCATCGGGGTGCGATAAATATCATTTTGCTGCGCGGTGGCCTCCTTCCTCTGCTTATCGCTATATATCGAATTTAAATATCACCACCTACGCGACTCGACTTTTCAGAAAATACTAAGATATTTTTACAATAACGGTAAAACTCACCCAATTCATAGTTATAAACTGCCTGAGCGCAAAATCAGAAAATTTCCGATATTTCTATTACCTTAATTTTGGGACACACGATGTTAATCCTTTTTTGTTAAGTTACAGGCTGCGCGCTGTAGGGTACTTTGGGATAAAATATTTCGTCCACAAGCCAGGTATTCCAAAAATAAACCCCACGAGAAAATGCAATGACAAATCGCTAACAATGAGATAGGGGATCAACGTTGAAGTTTCACGGAGGCATTCACGATAATTAATCGACAATAGAGCACTCTGGATTTCGTGGGTTCCTCCTGGGGTGCGTGAGGACCCCCACCGCGGTTCCGTCTTCTTCCGTTATTTATGTTCTAGGATCCGAGGAGGCGGTGAGGTCTCGAAGCATCCCCCGTTTCTTTAAGGAAGTTTATAATTTCGACGCTGCTATCGATTAATTAAACATTGTTCAGACATCTCTTGTCATTTTTTTGCTATTATTATTTGTTAATTATTGAAGAAAGGGAGGATACTTCCGAGAATAAAATATTATATAAGAAACTATCGCAAAAATAAAAATTATTATAATATTTTATATAATTATTTTAAACTTAAATATCATACAATTGCTTATTTTTTTTATCTTAAGAGTATACTTTTTCATTTGTTTTATAAAAGTATATATTTTATTTTGTTAAGGATGTTATTCGCAAATCAGTAAATTTGAATAGAATTATGCAATTAGCGTTTATATATATGACGTAAATGTGATTTATGACGAGGGGCATAGAGTTATTTGAATTCCCGTATTTCTAGAAACTTTCTCTTATTTATGCATACCGATCTACACCAAAAAGAGAACAGCGCGCTTAAATGCTTTTGAGCGAGCGGCATGAATTATTCAAATGCCTGCACTTACTGCAGGTGCGATAATGATAATTGACGATGCTGAGTAACGATAATTGCGCGCGATCTTATACGTATAGCTATAATAATAACAATTATTATGTGCCTCATATAAGCACATGGAAGTCTCATAATCTCCAACAATATATAAAATGCAGCGTTTGAATTTTCATTCAAGAATATTCTTCACGTTCTCGAATCATATCCCAGCGTCACGTAATGTGTTTTCTCCAGCCACTGATACCTGCAACAGAAATACATCAACAAATGTGTAACATATGTAGATTCAGCGTAATCGTATGAAAGTAGAAAAGAATGGACAAAGCCTAAAGAACGTTTATACTGGACGAAAGTTAACTAAATATCGTATATACAAAATAGTGAAAAAAAAACTTTCTGAATGAAAAAGAATCTGAAGAAGGATCTCTGATAAAGGATCTAAAAATATCTTCACAGAAAAATAATTTTATCGCGAAAATTTAGATCACGTGTTTTGATTTATTGCGTGACTACGCTCGGATCGACCGATCTTCCTCAGCGTTAGCGTAAACGCAACTACCGGAAGAGCGAGCCGAGTAAACGCGCCTGATCTGCATCGCAAGCGCGAGAACCGCAGTCGAGTTGTACGCCACGGTGGGTAGGTCGCATCCACGGCATTTCCTCTCCCCCCCTCCCCCCCCCTCTCTCTTTCTCTCTCACTCTCGCTCTCTCTGTGACCGCCACTGTGCGACGGCGGCGGTGGCGGTGGCGAGCATAACAGGGTGGACGTTTAACATATGAGTGGCTACCAGTGTTATTAATGCGGCGGTAGCGTCGTGCTCGGTTTCTTCCTCGGCGAGAGCCCACGTACTGGGCCTTAGATCCCAGACGGCGTACGGCCGGGACTAGGGGCCACCCGCGGGTCCTACGGATGCGCACAGGAGGCGAGAGGAAGGAGGCCTCGGTCCCTGCCCGCCAGGCAGGCAACGCGGGATGGGGTACGGTAACACGACACTCGGAAACCGCGGCACGACCGACGTCGTGCAACGGCCTCGAACCATCCCCAAAGGAGTTATGCCTTCCTGCCGGCACGCCGCCTAATTAATATGTGCTTAGCCCCGGAATGCTGCTCGTGTCTTTGGGAGCTACGCACGTTCGCGCTTTCCGGAGGCGGCGGGAGGAAGGGAGATCGGAACGCGTTTCTCGAACGTTGGGATGCGGTATAGCGTCCTGAAAAGATCATAGTTTTGCACTTGGTAATAGAAATGCACTGAGTAATATTTGATTGTATTAGATAACGCTATCGAGTGATGCGAAATATCTAAGACGAATGCAATAATGTACATAAAAGTTCGAAATTAAAGCGTATAGCACTTGATGTAATTAATATGGAATAAAATTTCTTTCGCGTATTTGTCTTTAACAAATGATGACCTCCGATGTCAATCGACAAACAATCGAAATGATGCTCTTAATGTCTTGTGAAAGTTTGAGTAAGAGAAAACTTTTCTCTTTCGTACGGAATAAAATTTAAAACTTCTACTTTCGCGTCATTAAAATAAAACTTTAAAACGCGATCTCTCTTAAAATATACATACATCTTAATATCGACTTAAAACACTGTTCTGCCGAACGATTCACGCCCGAATCACGTGCAATTTACCAAGCAGGCACACATGGGAAAAATTCGACGTGGGTGTGCCCACCTGTTCCAAGTGTCCAGGAGAGAGGAGAGGAGCAGCCGGAGGACCTGCCTCCCTCGTATCCGCCGCGATCGCTCGCGCGAGCGGGCGTATAGGCAAATATCTCTCGCGGTCGGCCGTGACATTAGGAGCTCTCCGGCGTCCGGAGGATTATAAATCCTTAATACAGATCGGCACGCGATGCCCGGCTCGTTAGGGTGATGCATGGTCGACTCTGGTGTCCCGTGGTGTACGGTAGCCGGTACCAATACGCGCGTACACTCACCGTACCGCCGCGTGCACGCACACACGCGCGACGGTTCGGTTTCCTACGGGAACACAACTGACACCCACACGCATCGGTGGACGCCGGGTAATAATGAGAGATCGGAGATACGGCCCGATATTAATTGTGCGCATCGAATGTGGCTGCGCGGCTGCTGCGGCCGGGCCGCTGCATCCGCGCCGTAGAGGGAACGGGGCCCGCGCTACCGGCTTACACCGATCCTTCGACGCGATATGTGCGATATACGATACGGGAGTGTGGTGGACCTGACCTCCCGGTCCTCTCGCCGCGGCGGCGCGGCAGCCGTAAGGAAACACGCCAAAAATGTTTCCTCCGAAAAATTGTTGCATATGATATGTGGTACGTTGTGTCGTAGATTAGTATATAATGTCTAAGGAATGCACCAGACATTTTTCAGATGATGCTTAGTCAGCAATTAACGCTTAAACATTTTAGTAAAAAAAATTTTTGAATTCCAGTTTCAAAAAGAAATTTTTCGATCATGTAACACGCAAACATATTTTTAAAATACAAAATTTCAGTATTTTAGGATACTACTCCAAAAATGTAAACTGTACTTCTTAAAAAAGCTTCTTTTCAGAATTAAAATCTTAATTAATATTTTTTTAATCGAAACGAAGTCTTTAAACGTTTTTGAGTGATGTTTATTTAAGTATTCTTCAAATTTCGAGAAATTTGTTACATTCTCATAAAGGCAAAAAAAAAAAGAAATCAGGATATCGAAGTAGATGCTGGAAGACAAGGGGACGACCGCCAATCCGGGTCGTTTCGCCGGTGATTACGAGGAGTGGACAGATTGAGACGGTCCTAGGGCTCCTCCCTTTCGTCCTTCTGCCGGCGATCTCTATGCGGGCTTCTCCCGGGGCGGACGACCCACGCCCAGGACGTCCTATGCCTCATCCTGCACCAGAGAGAAAATATTCCCTCCCTCGTGCCGACTACGAGCCACTTTGAAGATACGATCTCGAAACAAATTACGAGTCCCCGCTCTCGGGGCTCGCCCTATCTGAACTAAAATAATCGCGGGCCGTTAGCGGTCGCTCGTGTTTTTTAAATCGGTCTACACGAATCGGTTCCCCCCACGGAGTTTGTCAAAGGCCGACGGTGCAACTGTCTACCGATGCGTTCGCCATTAATGTTACACGCACCCGCGACAATAATGAAGCCTCCCGAATTAATAACGATAACGAATTGATGTTCCGCATGTCTTTCCTTTTATACAAATGTTTTTAGTTCCTCGATTATTTCTTGCTTCTTTGGATATTCCTTTTATCTTACTTTCTACTTTTAATCCTTCCCTCATAAAAACTGTATGAATATATCTTATTGACTAGGCATTTTTAGAACTGGAGCGATATCGTTAACTCGATGGGTGCATTAAGTCGGATTTTAAAATAATACGTATATGGAATTTAATAGATTCGATATAAAATACTATCGATAAAATACAACGACTTTTCTTTATAATTGAAAGCGAGTCGGGTGCATTGACATTTCAAGATGAGATCGCGGATGCTCCACGGGAAAACCAAGGTATAGATACATGTACAATACATACGTATATATCGTTATATAGCGGCGAAGTGCATGTACCACTCGGCCGCAGCTCGTCTCAATCCGGATTACGGTAACACCTGACCATCCGCAATTTTATCATCCTCCGTTCCAGAAAGATTCCAATTTTCTTCTCCCGCCGCGTAGCTTTCTTTCTACCTCTCCCAGCACCGCGCTTTCCCATCCCGTCTCCCCTTCGCTCCAACCGTCTCCTCTCCCTCCTCCTTCTCCCCGTGCGCTTTTTTCCATCGTCCATGGACTCAATCTGTGTCTCATCGCGGATTATTGGGATTTCGCGAAGATGAGGAAGAAGAGGAGACCGAGGCTCGCTCGACCGTCTGAGCTCCCCGGACTCGGCTCGGAGCTGGAAGCTGGAAGACTGCCGACAAGGACGAGTCTTTAATTCTTTCCGTCGTCAGCCGATCCCATCGCTCCGATTTCCCCATTTCCGAATAGGTGAATTCGAACGATTATTCACGACGTGGGACAAGTAAATGCGAAAACGGCGAGTACATTGAACTTAGCTCGAATCCGCTAGAATCGACGGGTAATAACGAAGTAATGCGATACTGATAATGATATGGTATAAAAAAATTCGCCGCGATCTCGTTACGTTGACAGAGAAGATAATTGGATGATGATAAAATTTCGTCCCGATTGTAAATACCTTCCGTAAAAATTTTACACCCGAAAGCAAACTGGAGCTAAATATAGTACTCGATAAACACAAGCGCATCAATGTTGTTACTAAAGAGTTAAAATATTACGATCTTTGATAATTAAACAATTAAATAAATCATGAAAAGTAAAAAAATTGCATTTTCGCAGTTGAATACACAGATTTCCTACAATCGTGTCAGAAGAACATTGATATTTTTTTCAATCAGTGTATTTTTAACATCGACACGAGTTGCCGTCGTTCGCCCAGAAACGACGGGATCACGTTCGTTACGTAAATCCTCTTACGCGGGAAAACAAGACGCGACCAAGGCGGTAGGAAATAAACCACCGCCGATGGAACGCAAAAATAATGATTCTCGTGGGCGTGAGATAATTGGCGCAAGGAGCTTGCGCGTCCCGCAGAGACAGGGAGAGGATGCCCCGCGAGATCAAAGGACCTTCACCTTCATCCGGCTCCCGGCGTTCGCCCCGATATCCTGGGAGCTGATGGTAGAGAAGGAGGAAAGGGGAGGAGGCTCCTTTTTATCGTTCCTTCCGCGGAGAGGAATCGCAGGCGACGCCGACGCACGAAATCGATCCGATGATTAATTTTCAATCGCGGCTTAATTACGCCGGGCGGCTAAGCCCGATTGAAGAGGCGTCCCCGGATAGTGAAAGGGCGGTCTGTGTGGTGCAAAAAAAAAAGAAAAAAGGAAAAAAAAGGAGATCACGTGAAGACGGAGAGAGAAAGAGAGAAAGAATGAGAGAGATAGAGAGGTCGCAGTCGCCCCTACAGCCATCGAATAAAAGGCTCTTCGTTCTCTCTAGAAGAGGATTGTGTCCAAGGATGAGGACACACTGGCACGGGGATGAAAGGGTGGCCGCTCAGAGAATCAGGGGAGGGGGTAGCGAGAATCGACGCAGGACACGATTGCCAGGAACACGTGATTAGATGGCCCTCCTTCCACGCGATTCTCCAGATTGGACACCCTCGTCGTTGGGAGAGACGTAAAAAAATGCAATCGGCTCTTACCGTAATGAAAAAGTCCCGACCCCGGGTAA